AAATGTTCGCGGGAAGCAGGGGAGGGGGCGGAGACTTTGGGAGGGGGCGGAGTTGGGGCGGGGGCGTGGGCGGGGCTGGGGGCGGGACCAGGGCCCCGGGGAGTGTCCTCCATTTGGAGGCACAAAATATGGTAACCCTAGTCTTGATTCAGCAATTCCACCATTTATGTAAGAAATATTGTTTTGAAGATGTATTCAAACATTGTAATGTAGAAAATGCAATGTTAACTCATTATTTTCATAGGTTTAATTTTTTTCTGAAGAGATTATGATGTGCTATTCCAAATTATTTTTTCCTTAGTGAGTGAAGAAAGTTATGTTATTGCAGGAAGCCTGGCACACAATCATTTTACAAGGCAGTTCTCTGTCTCCATCTCTCATGATCACACCAATGATTCTGTGTCTGCACTACCACTCTGCCTGTATTAGACTGCAAAATCGAGGTAGAATAGCTTAAATGGCAAATCTTTTCCCTAGGTATGGACAGGAGGGGAACCTCTGTGCTTGCGTCTCACCTCACTTGTGTGATGACAGGTGGGAATTAGTGCACGAGCACCGCTGCCTCAGACTCTGTGGAACCATCTCTATAGGCCTGAGGCTGCTCATCTGGGGAAGGAGAGGGGTAGGGAGGTATGCAAGGAGGACATTCATCACCATCCAGAATCCCATAGGACCCTCACAGCAGCAGAACTCCCATTTCATTACGTGTGTATAGGTGTGCCTGGGGGCTAGGTGGGCACCAGAAGGAGGCAGTGGCAGAAGAAGGAATTTTGGGAACTGCACTACTAGGAACTGGAGTAAAGCTGAAGCTCCTGGAGCTAATACAGAGGCACAGGGTCTCTGAATGGACGTCCTGACCTGATGTGGATTCCCCAGGGTTTGGGTCCTTTAGCACAATTGAATGAAACTCAGCCAGAGAATTTGGTATATTTCTAACTTCTTGCCTGATACCTCCCTCTCATTGCTAGCTAAGTCAGCCTAGATCCAATCTTCATTGCATCAAAAATAGACAGAGAAATTCCTCACCATGAGAACACCTCACTGTGCAGCAGAGTTCAGGCTGGTCAGGATCAGCAGGCTGCCCACCACTGTGAACAGTTCCAGTGGATGGGATTTTGCTGATGCTACGGCAAAGGAAAAGAATGATTGATTTGCCTCTCATAGCCACAGAATAGGAATGTAAAAATGTTCTAATCTATGATGTGCTCAGTCTGAATCAAAACAAGTTTTCCGCTGGATTCTCCCTTGCCACTTCATTAGTCATAGATAATTTGAACTTGTGAGGATGTGGGACATGTAAGTGCCAGACTGCCAGTGTTTGTGAATAACAAGTTGCCATAATAGTCCTCTAACTATAGACAGAATAGCTCAATGAAAATACAGAATGACTCCTCAGAGATAGCTGAAACCCCCTTTACCTCTATTAGTCCTCCAGCAAAAAGGCAGATAAATTGCTTTCAGGGTGAGGGAAATATATGAAGCATCTCTGCAGTGACTTAGGATAGGTGAGTTTTATCTTGAACACACAGGGACCCATATTTGACTATCAGCTGAAACTGGAAGTCCACACTTAGCGTAGATTAGAACTGACTTATTTTTTAATGACTGACCTATTTGGAGGCTGTTGGGTTTTTTTCTTCCAATTGTGGACTTTACAACGATTCATGCATTCACAACCTTGAAGACAGATTACTAATATTTTGGGACCATCCTGGAAAATAATATCTCAGACTCCAGCTAATACAAAATGGTACACCGTGAATATACAAGGGTTTCATGCATGAAAATCAAGGCGGATCACACTGAGAGCTACAGGGGCTGCCTGTAATTCAGACATTGTAATTCAAGATCTACATTTAGGTACATAAAGCCTTAACCTTAAACAGTATTGGCTCAATCTATATAAGTCATTGTTTGGTGTCTCATCTCTCGTTAGGGCACTTGTCCTCAGCAAATTGGAACCGATGACAGACCTGTATTATATTTTTGAGCAGAAAGGAGCCAGGGCCTTAAGAAGTGGGCCTCCTTCTAATGTGACACGATATAACAGTAATTTGTGTATTATTCATATATTTGAGAGAAGCACAGTCAAATATGACAAGGAGCCAGGAACTCTTGTGTTTTCAACCTGGTGCTAACATTGATTCAGTATATGCTTATGCTGTGATTTAATTGCTGTTCTATTTGGACACCTAGAGCCTTGGATAGGTATCTTTTTACTAAAAAAATATCTTTGGGCAAGTCGCTTAGGCCAAAATGTTGACACTTGTGCTAAAAGTGCAACACCTAAACACATATTTAGGCAACTGAATGAGTGGCCTCATTTGAAAAGGTACCGAGCAACTACTGAAGTCAATGGAATATGTGAGTGTTCAGCAACATTGAAAATCAGACCACTTATTTAGGCATCGAGATATAGATTTAGGGGGAGATTTTCAAAGTCACAAAGACCGTTAGATGTCCAGGGCCCACTAAAAGCCAATGGGAGCTGGGTGCCTAGCTTCCAAAATCTCCTCCTGAGGGGCCTAATTTTAGTTATCTGTGTTGCAAAATATTAGATTCATAGCACAATAGAGCTAGAAGGAACCACAAGGGTCATCTAGTCCAACACCCTGCCAAGATGCAGGATTGTCATTAATCTCTGTGTCCCAGGTTTCTTGTCTGGCCAATATGGCTGAATGTTTCAAAAGCTTGTGCCTAAAATTAGGCACTTAGATTTATATTTAGGTTCTTAGCAGAAGGGCCTAATTTCCAGAAGTGCTGAGCACCCACCTCACCCACTGAAATCCAGTGTGAACTATGGGTTTTCCAACACCTCCAGGCTTCAGGCCACTCAGTTAAGAACCTAAATATAAATTTACCCATCTACGTTTGAAAGTTTGAGCTGACAAATTACTTTCACCTACTGGAGGAGGAGGATTGTGAGGATTAATTCATGAATGATCGCAAAGAGCCTTGAAGAGAGTGAGCAGTATATAAGTGCTAAGCATTTTCATTGGTACCTTTTCCTCAATTGGGTAGTTTCATTACCATAGTTTGTACGATTTGTATATATTATTTATGATATTGTCAGACACCCAAGAACCTTAGGGCATGGGATGCCTTTATAAATAGTCATTTAATATGTATTTTAAATTTAAAATTAAGGACTAGATGAGAAAGAGGAATAATAAAGAAGAACTGTGTTGTCATAGTCAATGGCTTACATTTGTATAGCATCTCTATTATTACCAATTACACTTTTAAAAGCACAAGTCATAATTCTGGCACTGTTTCTCATTAAAATGAAGCATTCATTTGGCAGCCCTGGGCATGTTTTATGTGTTTAGCAAGAAAGAATTCCTGTATAGCTTGGTGATTTCTCCCTGTGTCATTAAGTAATAGCATTCTCATCTTGTCTCCCTAGGGTTCATCTTGTATGAACATCTTTGTCTTCCAATGGCATGACAAAGAATAAAGGGGAAGAGGGACAAAGAAGAAGAAGAAAGGATAAAAGTATGACAGGAAATATGATGAGGAAGCAGCTTTTCCTTTTTGATTCAAATGCTTTTACTGTTTGTATGCCAACATTTTGGTACATTTGTTTTTATAAGTCAATTTTCATTACACAATGATCACTATATTTTTTTTCCTTCAGCTACGTATCTTCATATAAGAAGAAAAATGTATGGCCTGAGTATGCTCTTATTTGCACTAGTGTAAATCAGAAGTAACCCCATTGTAGCCACTGGAGATATACTGATGTCAAGCTGGTGTAAGTGCAAAGAGAATAGGATTCTTTCATTTACACTGTTACTATTGCATATGCAAGTGTCATGAAAGTGCAACTAGAGTAGGCATCATAACAGATGCTCTGCTCACGGAATTCCACAATGAGCTCAGCAGGAGTTCCATAGTAGAGTAGAGGTATGATCGGACAGGCTCATGATATGCACTGTGACAATGCATATATTGATGCCATAGGCAGGTATATCTGCAAGAGACTTCCAGTGCCTGCACATTGGCTGGGATTTTCAAAGGGGCCTAAGGAAGTTAGGTTCCTAACTCCCATTGAAAGTTGATGGAAGCTGGTGCTTGATTCCCTCAGATCCCTTAGAAACTGCCAGGGCTGATGTATTAAAGCATTGGCTTGGTTCTTTGTGGGCTTACATTATGACCCACTGTATTTACATGCTCATAACTTTTGAACAAATTCTCCCTTTGGACTTGGTTATTCTCTTTCCAACTTTCCAGTCCAAACTTCCATTCTTCTTCTAAGCTGAATGGTGAATTTTTGTTGGGAAGTTTACTTATAAACCATTGACTGTTTCTGAATTGTCTGACAGTGAAAAATCAGATTCTTCTTCTACTGTGAAAAAGATGTAAAGGTTTAGTTTTTATGCCTGGTGGGAGGGCATTCATCCAAAGCAGGAGAAGGAAAGGGAGGAGACTAAGGATTTGATCCAAAGCTCCCTGAAGTGAATGGAAAGATTCCCATTGACTTCACTGGCTTTGAATCAGGCCCTATGGGAGTGTTTCACAAAATGTGAGTTAGGACTCGAAATGGGGTTGTGCCTTCAGCAGATGGGGTCACGGTGATCCCTAGTCTATGAAGGATGCCAGTTTGCTCTTCATAGCCTGATCTCACATGTATGGTGTGCGTGCATCATGACCTCTCTCACAGAGGATGGCATTTTGCTCTACAAAATGGCATCCTCCATGAGGCGTGACCCTGTCCATATGGTGCGTGCATTGTCATACTATGTGTACGATGGCATTTTGCTCTTCAAAATGGTGTCATCCATGCTGTCTGAGGTCCTGGTAGGAAATACTTCATTAAAATGGGGTTGTGCCAGCAAAAGTTTGAGAACCCCTGATGTATGGGTAGGGCGGATGTGGGACTGATGGCAAAGGAGGGAGAAAAGAAACTCAGCTCACATCACTCAATGTACTGTGTTCATCTTAAGGGTTCTAAGGATTAAAGCAGATATGTAACTGCTTAACTATAGACCATATACCTAGATTGCACTGAGCCTTCTTGGGTGCAAGAACCAAGGTGGCAAGGGAAAGGTCACTATAAGCCACCTTTCTGGTTTCCTGATCCTTGGCTTGAATGGGAGCTGAACTGACCTAACAGCTGCTCTAACTTACACAGGCTAGAGCATCCTTTCAGGACCTCTCCTCTGGCTGGTGAGCATGTGCAAAGAGTGTAATATGGTTCCACCCCTCAAACCTCCTGTTATGCTTTCACCCACATACAAACACTCCAGCTTCCCTCCTCCCTTTCCCAACTGAGCAGGGGGAGAGCAGGTGGCAAAGACTTACAAGTTTTACAAGGCCCAGGTCTTGCATAGTTTCCATCAGGAAAAAGGGCTATTCATAGCTGGGAAAAATAATTTTCCATATTTTAAAAAAAACACTTTTCTCTGCTGCAAAATAAAACAGAAGTTTCCTTTCTGGAGATATGCCAGAAATCTATGCACTCTGGAGGAATTAGTGACAAATGGGAATATACACACACTATATATAACATGCGTAAAGACGTGCTGCCAGACATACTGAAGAATAGCAGCTCATAGTAAGAAATTATTTAATAGACAGCTCAGTCTCCTAAAGAAATAGTAACGGTAATACAATAATCTGCTGCAAAACGTATTTTAAAAGTGCATATTTCTTTAAACTTCTGCACATGTTGCTAGGGCAAATTTCTATTGAATTGTCACTTAAACATTTTAATTTGAAAAACAGAAGTGTGTTCATGAAACATCTGCGTCTTACTGCCATGATACATAGTTTCATTTGGACATACCACAATAAGAATTATATGTGTATATCTGAATGAAAGCCACATGTGGATTAACTGTAAAACACAATCTGATGTTCTTTCAACAGTATTTTTTCACTGAAACTACAATAAAATATACTTTCTACTGAGATCTGTTACTGTAAAGGAAAGAAAGGATGGTCCTGAGGCTATGTCATGAGCCTAAAACTTGGGAAAATTGTGTTCCTGCTCTGCTACAGACTTGCTCTCCTTTAGACTTTGGGCAAGTCACTTAGTTTCTCTGGGCCCCAGTTGAGAACCTATAAAATGGGGATAACAGCGCTTCCCTACCTCCAAGGGAGTTATGAGGATAAATAGATTAAAATCTGTGAGGTGCTCCAATACTGTGTTAATGGGGGAAGGGGTTATAAGTAACTAAGATAGATGAAAGGGAAGGGGACTTTTCCAGATCAATTATAACTAAAACCAGCAGATTTTGTTTTTCCTGAGGCACCATCAGAGAGAGAGAGAGAGTGTGTACATATATATCTTCAGAAAAAACATTTTCTTTAATTTTTTAATATGTTCTCATCAGAATGTAGGGAGATGGATACTGAGAAATATTCTGGAAAACATGAGTCATAATTGTTTAGTTAACTTTTCTTTAGATAAATTATGTTGGAAACAAAGAACATTGCTGAGAACATGGATTTCTGACAAATAGTTTTCATTTGCCTAAAAGAAAAAAAAGAATCCTTTCAAAGTCTATTGCTAAACTTTGTTTCTTCAGTATTGTGTACGCATTAATATTTTAACAGTGCCAACAGCATAAACATCTCATGAGAATATCATGAAATCATCATAGTATGGCCTGAAAACAATTCTGTGATCTTATTGAATATTTCTTGTAAAATAAATATCAGACTCATGGAATTACTATAAAAATAAAACTTAGCTGACTTACAGATACGGTAACAAGCAGGTAACTTCCACAGACTCTCCAGTCAGTCAGAATCTGCAAAGATGCAGGTGATCAGGCTATGATATCGCAAACTGAATTACTAGCTCAGATATTATAGATATAGACAGACAGCAATTATAATTCTATAGTTTGATATAGTTAACTCAAGGTAAAGGCCTTGATTACAGTATGATAATTAATTCTCACTAAAAGCAGAAGCTTTCTCTGTCTCTCCTTTTGTTGCAGTCCCAAACTCTTCTGACTGTCATAAATAAGACATGTTCCAAGATGCATAATCAGGTTGCGTATTACTCCATATCCTATTTCAAAACATGATCTTAGCCAGGATTCAGACTCATTGGTTAAAAAGTAACAAATGCATTTGGTGTTCTGTGTAAGCTTTCCTAAAACACTGGCAATCTTTCAGCTGATGTTTACTCTTTGTTCAATGAAATTTGAAACACTTTCACCTGTGCTTGGATTACCTAGATATGTTGGAATACACATGATGCTATCATTTACAAGCCTTTTAAAAGATGCAGAATCATTGCTTTCTCTTAGAATTAGTCTCCTGAAAGCATACATCAACAGTTTAAGGCTGGCTTACAAACCTTTGTAACTCTACTAAATAGACTAGATACTGGAGGTGGGAGTGTTGTTATTCCTGAGTCAAACAAGTAAATATCTGCAAGATATAAATGAACGCAGGCACATGTGGCTGGCCTAATGGCTTGGCTCTTGCAATGAGCAGCCATATGGAACATTTGCATGAATTATGCTCAAAACATGATGATGCACCTTACATTGCTTCTGAGAACATCACTAATGATATGCATAGAACAGCATAGGGTTGCCAACTTTCTAATCACACAAAACCAAACACTCTTGATCCCCCCCTCCTCCAAGACCCCGCCCCTGCCAGGAGTCCCCACCTCCCGCTCACTCCATCTCCCCTCCCTTCATCGGTCGCTCTCCCCCACCCTCACTCATTTTCATGGGGATGGGGCAGGGCGTTGGGGTCTGCGAGGGGGTGCAGGCTCTGGCTGGGGGTGTGGGCTCTGGGGTGAGGCCAGGGATGAGGGGTTTAGGATGCAGGAAGGGACTCAGAGCTGGGACAGGGGGTTGGGTGCGGGAGGGGGTGTGGACTCCGGGAGGGAGTTTGGGTG